ATTTATGTGCAGTATACTATATGAGTCGATGAGCGGATGTGATTGGGATTAGTTTAATATTGAATGAGTAAATTGTTGTACTTGGTTCTGTGTATAATGCTGAGTCGTTCGCTAGGCTGGATCAGCTGGCCGTTCTTGTACCAGCGGCCCAGGACGTTTCCAGGGTAAATCTCACAGTTCAATTTAAGAGGTTGACCCAACAACACTGTCACACTCTGTAGATCCATTAAAATCTTCAGAGGCTTCACTGAATCATCCAGTGGCAGGTAACAGGAAACAAACGAAAAATACAAAAGTTAATAAACAGGAGAGAAAGGGTGAAATAAAGACGCTTTTGTTTTTAATTCAAATAGCTTCAGAAAGTTCCTTAAAGGCAAATGTCACTCTCAAATAGCAATATTATCATACGATCAACTTGAACGTGAGCTTCAGTGGTGCCCCCGGTGGCCATCAGGGAGTAGGTGCCAGTGTCGTCCTTTGTGGCATCGTCAATGATCAGCCAGTGTTTGGTCCCCTCGCTTTTCACACGGTACCGTGAGCGCACCCCTGTGGGGACCTCAACCCCATTCTTCATCCTGTACCAGACAGTCAGCAAAGAGGTGATGTCATTTTGCTTTGCTTGTTTAACACAAAAATGGGGTATTAAACACCTAAAATCCCCATTGCACATACCATTTAACTTTGGCTCCTTCCTCAGACACTTCGCACTCCAGTTCAATTCTCTCGTTCACTGTGGTTTTTACAGGCTCCAGCTTTTTCACTATGTTCACAGGCAGTTCTACATAGGAGGACCAAAGGAGTACATCATCAAATCCTTGGCAGGCAGTGTTCAGGAAAGTTGTTATAAAACAATCAGCATTTATCAGTTCTGTCACTTTTTGAGCATGAAATCGTAGGCTGGTAGGGTGGACGCACCTTTCACAAACAGTTCAGTGGTGCACTTCTCTTCTCCTGCAGTGACTGAGTAGGCAGCATCATCGTTTATCTGACAGTTGTTAATAACCATTATCCGTTGAATGCCTTTGTGCTCAAAGATATACCTGCACAATCAATTCATTAGTTACTGGAAGTTAAAGGAACACTCCACTATTTTTGAAAATAGGCTCATTTTCCAACTCCCCTAGAGTTAAACAGTTGAGTTTTACCGTTTTCGAATCCATTCAGCCGATCTCCGGGTCTGGCGGTAGCACTTTTAGCTTAGCTTAGCATAGATCATTGAATATGATTAGACTGTTAGCATCTCGCTTTTTTGAGCGAGATGCTAACGGTCTAATCAGATTCAATGATCTATGCTAAGCTAAGCTAAAAGTGCTACCGCCAGACCCGGAGATCGGCTGAATTGATTCGAAAACGGTAAAACTCAACTGTTTAACTCTAGGGGAGTTGGAAAACGAGCCTATTTTCAAAAATAGTGGAGTGTTCCTTTAAGAGGCTGTTTTTACTTCACATCCCTAACCCTAACATTATTAGATTCATTCATTCATTCGTTTGTTTGTTCGTTCATTCATTCAGCCATCCATCCATCCATCCATCCAGTTTTTATTTAACCTTTTTATATTTTCATTCATTCATTCACTTATTCACAGTCTTAATAATTCATTCATTCACTCTGTTTTTTATGTTCATTCATTCAATCTTTTCTTTTTTCTTCCAATTAGTCTTTCTTTCTTTCTTTCTTTCTTTCTTTCTCTATTGATTATATATTTTATTCATTCATTCATTTATTAGTTTATTGTCTTCATTTTTGATTGCTTTATTTCATTATTCATTAATTCATTCATTCAGTGAGTCAGTCAGTCTTTAGTTTATTGATTTCATTCATTCATTCATTCATTCATTTTTACATTCTTTACGTTATTGATTGCTTTAATTCACTTATTCTGTATTTTACTTATTCTTTCGTTCAGTCTTATTCATTTCTTTCTTTCTTTCTTTCTTTTATTTATCCTGTTGAATTTCACAATTAAACATTTAAGTTAGGAAAGAGAAAATGGAAATAATGTATATTGTACAGAAGTTAATTCCGGTCCTATAATTTGATTGATCTGATTGTATTTTGCTCATAAATACACAAAACTTGACCCTGCTTTGGCTTGTTTTGGAACTTTCTTCATTGGCAGAGAAAATATAGACAAAATAACTGGCCATATTGTGTCTAAGTTGTGAGTGTGTGCTGATATTCAGTAAAATAACATTCTTGCTTGTGTGATTGCTGGATTACTTATAGTTTGTTATTCCATTCAACATATGCAATATATTATACTGTACATTACAACATGGCACTGAAAGCATCTGAACAGACCCATACAGCAGTTCAGATATACAAGACAGTCCTGTGGACTGGCTGACTTACTTCCTATTACTTTGTGGTGAACAGAGGAGCCAGAACAGCCGGAGCACAGGATGGAGAAGGTGGAAGTGGAGGTTATGGCAGACAGGTGGAATCACCATTGCATAACAGACAGAAAGGACAGATAGACATCATGCCTAGATCAAACAGGGCTGGAATAGCTATTAGTGTTACAGTTACTGTTGAGAGAGAGAGAGAGAGAGAGAGAGAAAGAGAAAGAGTAAAGTTGGAAGAAGAAAAAGAGAGAGTCCTCCAAAAAGCAGGGAACACTGGGATAGACATCACTGAAGATAAGCAACCAGAAAACTGCACCGACCACCCAAATGGCTTTAATTTAGTTGCTCTGAACAACCATGAGAAGTGGGTTAAAATATGCTTTTCCTTAATTTTCAAATAACTTAATAACAAATCATTGTCTTTTACAATTATTAAAAAATGAAGCAACATAAATTCTGTTATAGAAACTATACACTTGTGTTTATTTACTCCTTAGCATTAAACATTGTCTTAAAAATAAGATAAAAAGTGTTTTTAATTTTTTGTAGCACTTTAATAGACATTATTACAAAATATTTTGTTTTTAAATGTTATTTATTACAAAGCTACAAATTATTACAAAACAATATTTTTGTGTAAAGTTTATTTTGTCTTATATTTATTATGCCAAACAGCGGAGCAGTGACTATTTGTGCAATATTACCATAACATATTTCTCCAGAGCATTAGAGGTAAATATACATTTAATGTACAAATTTCAGGCAGCTTTTGCAACTCTATTAAAGTCCTGTGAGGGTGTTGGGGCCTTTTTCCTGTACAGTTTCCTGTTGTTAATTACTCACTGTACACTACATTTAAAACTTAAAATGTAGCTCAAGAGCTTCACATTGGCCTTCAATCACATAACGTCCTTTAAACATTTCTGGAAGTTATCATATGGCACAGATTAATGTTTAAAGAACGTTACGTGTTTGCCGGGTATGAAATGCTGATGGTTCACTTGTGTGTGTAGCAAGTGTGTTTGCTGCAAACAGAGTCATTTCTGTGTCCCCTGTGACCAGCAAGCCAAAGAACACAATAAATGAAGGGTTTAAGCAGGTTGGTGTATACAGAGGATTTCACATGAGCGTGTTTCTGAATGTAGTTGTAAAAATTTGCATGTAAGAATAGGAGGTGACATACTTTGGAGTAGAACGGATCTCTTGGCCATTCTTGTACCATTTTAACTCCACGGTCGGGTCAGCAAGGTCCACAACTAACCGGATCTTTCCGCCTTTGTCCACCTGATACGCAGGTTCCAGTCTCTTGGCAAATGCTACAGTGGAGAGTTAAAGGAATAGTTCACCCAAAAATGAAAAATTACTGATAATGTACCCTCAGGCCATCAAAGATGTAGATTACTTTTTTCTTCATTAGAGCAGATTAGGAGAAATTTAGCATTACATCACTTGATCACCAGTAGATCCTCTGCAGTGAATGGGTGCCGTCAGAATGAGAGCCCAAACAGCTGATTAAAAAGTAAATAAAAAGACTCCAGTCCATCAATTAATGCCATTATTTTTCTTACAAGCACACAGTTTTTCACTTCACAAGATGTTAATTGATAGACTGGCATCTACATGATTATTGTGATGTTGTTATCAGTTGTTTGGACTCTCATTCTGACGGCACCCATTCACTGCAGAGGATCCATTTGTGAGCAAGTGATGTAATGCTAAATTTCTCCAAATCTGCTATGATAAAAAAAAAAAAAACTCTACATCCTAGCATGGCCTGAGAGTGATTTTAAGCAAAATATTCACACAGTTATTCAACTGAAGAATTTTACATTTTACATGTGAACTGAATACTGCACATTTATCAAGCAAAATAAACATCTAATAGAGTTTAAATCAGCACCTTCACTTTTTTTCTCTTCCTTTTTGGTTTTCTTCAGTCTTTTCAGCAGGCCTCTGAGATCGGTGATGCCATACGTAAAAGCAATCTTCTCATATTCATCAGGTCGGGCATTTTTCAAAATCTCCCACACATCCACCTCAGAAACTTCCTCTTGCTTGTGCTCCCTGACATCACAGAGCAGTAAGACAGTAAGAGGTCAGAGGTCATGGCTAGGGCTCTTCAACATGTGTTGAGGAACTAGATCGCTATGTCGGAATGTTCATAGGCTTTAATATGAGAAGAGAATGATGAATGTTCCATTATTTCCTTCCTTATTTCTAGTTCCTCAAGACATGTCACACAAAGAGATGGGCTGGATAACCTGCCTATGTCATGGTAACCTGTTACAGGGAGAGATGCCTCACTAGTTTTTAGCTACACAGGGGTTGACATGATCAAGGAAGGGATGGTTCTGTGTTTATGACTGGGGACAAGAATTTAGTGAGGAGCTGCAGTACTACTTTTCAATTTCACTAGGATTGGAAAGGATAAGGTCAGTAAAAAGGGGAGAACATTGTGTTATCACGTGGTTAACATGATCGTGCTCATGATGGATCAACAGACTAAAATCATTTACTAAAAGAGAAGTGTGACATTTGTTTGAGTGCATTATAATATCATTTATGTTAGGAAGATTTATAATTAGGGCTGTCAATGTAAAATGAATTTAGTACAGGTCTCAAAATGTGTTTAAAAGGTTTAAGTGTTTAACTAACTTAATGTGACACAAAGATGAACAAAGTAAATAGACCAACTATAAAAATACGTGGAGAGTACATAATTATATCAGTATTACATAAGTGTTTTGTTTTATTGTTGGTGTGCTTAATTTATATATAGATAAATAGATCAACAATAAAAACAATGCACAAATAATATAATTATAGATAGGTAGATAGACAGACAGACAGACAGACAGACAAACAGACAGATAGATAGATGACAGACAGACAGACAGACAGACAGACAGATAGATAGATAGATAGATAAAAGAGACAGACAGATAGATAGATAGATAGATAGATAGATAGATAGATTTGATCAACAGCCTTAATTACAATTCTTCATTCATTAATAGTATTCTATTGACTCTGTCCTATAGCTTAAACTGTACCCATCTCTTTGCAGGAGTTCTATCTAAACACATCTGGCAATGTAGTTGTTTTCTTTTATTTTAGGGTTAGAAGTCAATGTTTATTATTAGGAGTGAATATTGTTGTTATACATGATCACAGTCGTTAATGATCAGGGTGTGAGACAGTTAAATTAGTCATCATCAGTTTTTGTCATTCAGCCCTCTTCTTACACAGACATTTCCCTGAATGTCTGGAGGTAACATTATTATTTTCATGTTTTAATGTGTGTTTAAAAGTCTGTAGTTGTTCAGGCAAGTATTAAGAACACTGAAAGTTTGCAGTTGCAGTTGTGCGTCTTGTTTCTCGAGTATAAATCAAAATTCCATTAACAAAAGTAGTGATAACACTATTTCACAGCTTCATGTAGAAGTGCTCCATCAACAACTCGTAAATGAGTTGAAAACATTCCCTTTCCATCAGGTTCTGACCTTGAAAGGGTTGTTTCCATCATTTCAGAACGTTGCTGAATCTTTTATGAACGCTGTCTTTAAATAAAGTGTTACCGGACTACAGTAGGCCAACACTCTTGCTTATACAGTTCCTGTTCAGGTCATGCTTGGGAAGCTAAAGGATTATATTACTTACCAGTGATAACGTCTAATCGATTAATTACCTACGATACTAACCTGCCTTGTCTGAAAGTGTAGGGAAGAAGAAAAGAGACAAGCCAAGATAATTTTCTAACTTTTCTTTTTTTCCATTATGCAGGAGTTTAACTTCTGATATTAGCTAACAACAAAGCAAATCCTCATGAAAAAAAGATGCTTCTAGAGGCAAAACCCCCAAAATAAGATTGTGTATATTTATTTTATTTATTTATTTTATTTATTTATTTAGTCATTTAGCAGACGCTTTTATCCAAAGCGACTTACAAATGAATATATATATATATATATATTATTATATATATATATTGTGTATATGAAGATACTGTGTGTGAATCCAGCATTTAATTTATGTTGGCAACACAATACACTTGTTTGCATTTATGCAGTCTTATTTATATGCCAAAATACAAAATTTATATGCCAAAATTATTATTAATAATAATGGCACACAAATATTGTTTTAAACATTTTAATGGAAGAGTAGTTGCCTTGTTGCAATAAATAACATGAAGAACGCATTTCTTTTAAGAGTGTAAAAAGATACTGTTGGATTTTAACAACAGTGTAAAATCAAGTATGAAGAAAAAGACACCCCTGTCAGGGCTTAAGATAAAAAAGGACAAAAAATAAGAAAGAATTGGTCCCATTGGGGGACCAGACTAGAGTTCTCACCTATGTTTGAGAAGCCCACTAAAGTCAAGCTCGCCTGCATCGTCTTGGCCTTCACTGCTGTTGTTCACAAGAGATTAATGGAAATTGAATCAGAAAAGTCACAAACATCAGAATCAAACAATGCTAAAAGAACAACGCAAAAGCCTGCAATCTCTGCATCCGAACGAATGTAGGATTGAGGTGTACACAAGAACCTTTCGCTTCGCGACCGTTGGGCGAACTGATTTGTGCACAAGCTCCTAGTGGTCTCATGACTGATTCTCCCAGTGGTACTTTGGGAGAACTGTATGAGCTTGGATAGTTTGCGTTGCTTTCTGACACATTGTTGGGGTGGAAGTTCCCAGTGCAAGCGTTGGCCTTTGAACAGTTCAACACATTGGTTTGGTTGGTTGGTTTGGTCGACGGGTGGATTTGGTGGTAAATATTTTTGACAAAATGGTTAACTGAGAACTTTCTGGTAACCCAGTCCTTCAACAAACCATGTTTATGTACATCGGTTTGTTAAGGATTACTGGAACAGAAGTCCTGGTTTAATTGAGTAAACATTCACAGAGAAGATCTTCTGGCATTTTAATGCAACATTTCTCCTGGAAAGTAATATTTTAAGATTTTCAAGTATCAAATATGATTTACTTTTAATTCTGAATTATATTGTAACATAATTTCTATAAAAATAAAAAAAATGCTTGATAATAGCCAGAATTTAGAAATTATCTCATAGCATACAGTAACATTATCATTTTTTATTATTATTGTTGATTTTATCACTAAAAACACAGTTTTATATTTTCTGCCATTTTTTTGAACATTGCTATACATTTCTCTTAATAAAAATAATTTCCAGGGAGGATGTTCCCCCTTTACCTTCTTTTGAAAGCTGAGCGGATGTCAATGTTTTGAGAACCGTCTGAGACTTCTGGGGGAAAAACAGCAGAAATAGAAATAGAAAAAAATGAAACACAGCAAAGAGATTAAAATGTACACTACCGTTCAGTAAGTTTTTGTCTCTTATGCTCTCCAAGACTTCATGTATTTGATTATAAAATAGAGTAAAAAACAGTAATGTTGTGAAATATTATTATAAATTGCTGTTTTCTATTTGAATATATTTTAAAAATGTAATTTATTCCTGTGATGCAAAACTGATTTTACTGTCATTACTTGTCTTCATTGTCACTTTTGATCAATTTCATTTAAAATCATACTTTTGAACGGTAGTATTGGTGTCTTTGATTATGTGTCTGTCGGGTTGAATCAGAAAACAAACCTTTGATCTCCAGGTCAAAAGAGCAGCTATCAAATTTGTCTTTGTAGTTGACCTCACATCTGTAATTCCCTGCATAGTTCTCCTTCGCCTTTATAATGCGCATCTCAAAGGTGTGAATCTACAGCAGAGGGAAACCAATGCCAAATATTACTAGAAGAATAGGAAAGTTATGCAAATGCTTCTTCACAATACATTGTTTGAGTGGGATCACCTTGGTAAAGCGATCGAAAGATTCTTTAAGCTGCAGATGCTTCCCAGTCTTGCTAGCCAGATCCATCCACTTGCCCTTGAACCACTTAATGGTTGGTTTACGAAGCAAGTCTTTGGCCTCCACCTTAGCAACGAAGTTGATGTCTCCACCTTTCAAACAATATAATAGATGGTTTTGTTGAATAAATGCTGCGAGATCTAAAACGATGTGCACAAGAGCCTGAGATACTGACCTACATTGATGGAACCACTCTGAGGCTTTTCAATCAACAGAGTCGAGAGCGGCAGAGTCTCAATCTGTTTGTCAATCTCCTCGGGAGGCTGGCCGTCCCCCAGAGACCACACTGACCAATTAGGAGAAAGAACACACTTACCGCACTCGTACATTTTTGGTTACTTTTTATAATAACGTTCATTTTTATTAGCATATTATAATACTGAATAGGTAATTACAGTAGTTAGTGCACATTCAAATGTTAATATCTCTATATTTCTATATAAATATATTCATATGCATCAAATTTCTTAATGAAAGTTATTATAAAATATTTGAAATCCATATATCTTCCAATCATCCACACATACACACACACACACACACACACACACACACACAAGTACTCAACAAACACACAGTGACACATCGTCATCACACATTGCTGCCACAAAGCAACATGGAAAGCATAAAGACACTGAACAATGACCTTTAAGAGGGAAAAGAGAGAATCGGTTAACATATGTAAATATACATTGTGTAGCAAAATCATTTCGGAAAATATTCAGATTGCTCAGTGAGATTTCACAGATGTTTTTAGTCAGTGATCAATGATGAGATTAAATCTTTACCAAATAATATTCTGACCTGTGCCATTCATTTGCCCATGGAGTGTGAAAAGGCAGATGATCTACAAAACCCCTCAAGTTTCTTTCAAGACGGGGTTTGGGATTATTTCACCGCTCTGGCCAAATGTACCCATGTGCCGGTTTCATTTGGCTGTCCATTGTGGGAAAAATTAGGCACTAGAAAGCGTCTTATCGCTAAACATATTCCTATTGCATCCTGTGTTTCTGGCTTCTAGGGATCAGTTAATGCATCTACAGTAGTTATAGAATTACCTGAGTCTTTTCTCCCCCTGGTTGACTCAGGGTCGCTATCATCTAAACAGAGACAGAGAGAAATTTACAGCATATTATAAGAAATATTACTGTAAAGTCCATTGCGGCCAACAAACACACTGTAACACACAATGGCACACAATTCCACATATAAAACATGAACAGAAAGCAGGAACAGATTGTTATTGGCACTCTATTTAGGGAAATATGACACAATGGTTGTGTCGTTCCATACTTGTTCAGTTGTCTTTTCTGTTAACCTAGTTGTTTATTAAAGGCTGTCTTTCTTTAAAATGATTAAAATATGATAAATAAATGTTGTAGTATTCTAACAACTATTATAATGTTTGCGCAATGCTTATGTCATAAAAATGTGTTTTATGGTGAAATAAAAGCTGGAATTATCAGGACTTTATGTGTTGGAGAGTGTTACACTGGAAGTAAATGTAAATTCAGAGGGCAAGGCTCTACTGTAAATAACTGTATTAATCTTCAACCTGTTTGCTCAAATTAATATTCACATATAATCTAAAAATAAACATATCTCTGGGTAGAAAGTAATAGGGGGCATTAATTAGTGAAAGACTCTTACTAGGAAGGTCAATAGAAAGTTTCTTGGGAATGCTGCCATCCTCTGTGAAAGAAAACAAAATATTATTTATTATGAGTATCTGTTTTAGCCAAGTAAAGGGGTGTTTATTGACCTAAAACAAGTTAATTATGAAAAGTTCAATTTAATAAATTGCTGCATATTTTGACAGAGCTTTTTTAAGTAATTAATTAATTCCCTTTTTTCCTTAATTTTGCATGTTTTTTTTACTTACAATTTACAATACAAAACATGTATTATATGCAAAAACATGAATTATGCATTTCTGTACAAGCATTATGTGTATACTGTATACACATCAGATGTCTTCTGCATCCCTTCCTTTATATAGATATGAACATATGTTATATAAAGGGTCTAAATGCTTGTATGAATCAGGCAGAAATCACAAACGTGAAGTGCATGTTTTTTTGCTCATACGTTCCTTTGTGAGTTTCATCTAGAGCTGTAAATATTCATTTTTAGTCCAATCTTTAGCTGGTTTTATTCTTAAATTCTCCTAAAGTATTTGCATTTTGAATTTCAAAAGCTCACCTGGCATTTTTATAGCAACAACATTAGTAAAGACGTGTAAATAGTAATTTAATGAGGATGGGTCGTCATGGTTACCAACCTGCTGGAGGTGGAGGTGATGGAGTGCTGGCGGTGACATCATCATCTTTATCTGAAATAAAGGTGTGATTGACACATACACCAACCTATCACTGAACTCCATTTCCAGCCGTAGACCAAACACAGCATGCATACATGAACTTTCAATTCAACATGGACCCACTTACAAGTAAAAGATGGAATGCTGGGAATGTTTGCCGGTGTCTTGGACAAGCATGACAGGAATGGTATGTGACTTTGTTGTGGCTGTGTATACGTGTGAGGATAAGAGTGTGCTTTGCAAGACAGAAGCGATATGTATACAACCACAAGCTTATCTGATGGCCCGCCGGGCCATGAAGCAGCACACATGTGGATGGAAGGAAGTGTGAGGTTATATTCTGGCTTGCCGGTGAAACCCATGAGCATTTTGCAATACACAGAGAAAAGCTATGCTTTAATTATTGCAGAAGATTCTTGTTTTGCTACAGGAACAGATCCAGCAATGCGGCCTGAATGTCTGAATGCCACATTATTAAAGATTCTGAGAAAACACAGTGAGTATAAATGCTCAAAGCACATATACACACATCTCCACTCAAAACACACACTGACTGATATACTTCTCTGTCCTCTGTTGACATACAATACCTTTTATAGGGGTAGCTTTTGTATCAGCAGACTTCTTCATTGAAGGTGCTGATCAGTATAAATTCAAATGTTAGTGGACACAAATACAAACAGTCTACGTATAAACTAGATTATAACATCTTAGTGGAGTTTTCTTACTCTTTTGGACTTGCTGTGGGATTTACTGTGCATCACACACATGCATGCTAGATATCTTACAGGCACTGTCAGTACAGAGCTTTAAAGACCACAGAAGTGGAATTAAATGTAACATTTGCATTACAAACGAGAATTTCCTTTGAAGGACTTTCCTGCAGGTTAAAGTGAAAGAAACCTTTGAGTCTTTGGATGGTAGTGAGAGATCTGGAAGAAACACCAGGGTCAAAACATGTACTGCTGATGAAACATTAAAGATCTGTAGATCAGATCAGGGATATTAGACGGTTAGACAAGTTGAACATCCCTGATGGGTTCAACAAAACTAAATATGATGGAAAATACTGGTTATTAATGCTTCTGTTGATATCAGTGATTATTAAAGTTTTGGCTCCACATGTACTTGACCCAAATCGTATGCAACTTGCAGTGTTGGGGAGAAAGTACAGTAACTAAACAACATAGTACATATATTTAGCAATTTAACTGTACTTCAGTTGTTTTTTCCAGCTAGAATTTATGTAGTGTAATGAGAGAAGAAAAGAAAAAATACTGTTGAATTGTTACTGTTGTTTGTGTGATTTTTATTGTAAATATGTTTTACACAAGAATGAAGACTTATGTAATAAGGTCATATGACATTCATCACATAAGGTCAAATGACCAGATGAATATCTCAATAACCTCCCTGTTTTTAGATGTAAAATATTGGTTGAATGCAAACTGTGCATTTCTACAATATTTGTGTGTGTGCATGTATGTGCCAATAGTGATCAGTAAGTCCACTGTAAGTCCACATGCTTTCGTTATTTAATTATTGCGTCATTTTCAAAAAAAAATTAGTTCATTTAAATATAATTTAATATATCTTCTAATGTTGTCACTTTTTATGTAGCTTGTAGCTTTGCAAACTAGTTTCAAAGAAGCTTCCCAACACTGACAAGTTGTTATTAGGATTTTACTCTTTGCAATACTCGCCGGGAACTTTTGAGGTGCCGGACTCCTCTTCTTTTACCTCAGTCACCTCGACATGCTTCTTAGCCTGTGTTGGCTCAGGTTCATTGTGGCCGTTCTCTACAGGCTCTGTCACTAATGGCTGTGGGTCTGTGACCTCACCCTCTACTGGCTCTAGTTCAGTCACCACAATTACTACAGGCTGTGGCTGAGGGGTCTCAGCAGCAGGCATGGGCACGGCTGCCTCTGCTTCTGTGACAGTCACTATGGCCTCTGTGTCTTTGGTTGCCACTTTAGCCTCTGTACAGCAAACACAGCCAGGCTAGAGCAGCAAGACTTCAGGAAGCCACCTTCCACTCAAATGCTTACACATGCACACACTCACATAGATGTAAAGTGACTAAACTGGTCAAATATGTGCATTACATATATTTACATGCTAATTACAGATTTAATTTAATGGCATTTTTCAAGTCAATTTGAATAAGTGACCAAAACAGATCTCGTCACTGTACATCTATGAAACTGTAAATCCCAAAAGAAGCAAAGTACAACAGGCTCTGCAAGCATCTACTTGTGGAGTATTAAAAATAATTTAAAATGATATTAATTATTCTCATGTACAAAATGTCTAAAGATGTTTGAAGTATATTTTAAAATATAAAATCAAATAATATATACATATACATATGATATTATATATTTATTAATCAGCATATTTGTACTCAATAACTAGTAAATAATGAGAATGAATTATTCTCTGCATAAATTACATATGGTTTACGTATAGTGTATATTTATTTAAAAATATTTATGTTAATAATAAAAATGTTACACATTTAACAGTTTTTCTGAATATCCATGTTTGTACACAACAACTACAGTCAATTATGAGAATGAATTATTCTCCTGCACAAAATGTGTATATTTATTTATTAATAGTTTATTATAATTTATAGTTTATTATACTTTATTTAAATATTTTATACACATTTTAATAATAAAATATACAATATAATATATAAATTCTGTGCATTTAAATATTTTAAATATCCATACAGTATGTTTATACAGAACAACTACAGTCAATAATTAAAATTAATTTTTCTCTTACACAAAGGTTTATAGATGTGCTAAGTTTAGTGTATATTTATTTAAAATATACTTTATATTAAAGGGGTCATATGATGCTTTTTTAAAGATCATTATTTTGTGTATTTGGTGTAACAGAATATGTTGACATGCTTTAAAAACACATTATTTTTCAAATACTGTACATTATTGTAGGTCCTCTATGCCCCGCCTCTCTCAAACGACATCATTCAACATTTTTTGTATATGTCAATTATTTATATATGGTTTCTTTCTATCACTGGCTGTAGATGGAACTAGTACAATACCTACTATCCATGTGATAGGAAACCATACTTGTACAAGCCAGAAGCTTTACAAATAATGGCTCCGAAGCCAAAAATCATTCTAGCACCTCAAATGAGAAGTGTATATTACCAGTGCACTGGTAACAAGGGCCTTAGCCTGAATGTCATCTGAATCAATAACCCATGATCAGCTGGACAGAATACAGGGATTCAGACCATCTGGCTGATATATGAAATAACAGTGATACTCATCTGGTGAGTAGCCTACTTCACATTTGTGCTCACCATGTTTGCACGCCGGTGCTGTGTGCTTATTACACTGAACAAAATTATAAACGCAACACTTTTGTTTTTGCCCCCATTTTTCATGACTGAATGTTTATACTGTACTTTGTTGCTTAAAGCAGAAATTGTGTCATACAAAACATGTCAACATCAGTACTTCCAGACACACTTATACACTCACAGAACTCAATCAACCAGTGGTTTATTTGTGTCAGGTCAGTTTATTAGGTCTTTCTCATTGCAAATTAAGCAGGCATTTTTTGTATTATGGCCTACTTTAATTTTACTGTTGCCCATGGCAACATAACATCACTACTTTATCTGCAAATTTGCGTGGTTTTGACACTCAAACTACTAATCGTAAATGCCCCTTGATGACTCGAGTAGGCCTATTAATTAAACGGTAAGAATAAAGGCGTGGTCATATTTACTTATCTTTCGGTGAATTTTCGCATGCGAAAAATCCGGTTATTTCAATAGGCTAGTATCCGTGATCTGGAATTTCGCGAGAGGGCGAACGATTTCTCCATGCAGATTTCGCAACGGGTTCAGGATGTTTACATGGGTTTACTACATCGAACAACAGAAAACTGCTTGGTTTGACTGTATCTGTTTAAACTGTGCTTCATACATTGCTACTTTATTTAAAGTTTTGGAATTACGATGATCAGCGTTAACCATGGCAACATTAGCTTCTTTTTTCATTCTGTTCGGAGTCGTTTCAAAACACAGCTAGAACAGCTAATTGGCGCCATCTTATGACTCAAAACCCTTAGACTAGTAAAATGCCATTGGATTACTCTTTATATTAATATGTTAAGAATGAATGGATAGATGCCTAGAAACTCAGGTGCCCCCATTTAAAGCAAAAAATTCATGTGTCCTAGATGAGAGTGAAAATAGGAAAATTTAGCCTGTAAATATATATATAGAATGTATTGCAGCTATTTGTTGTTACGGTATATGTTGTAATGAACATTGAATGTTTTGAATGTTTTATTATTAAAAGCGGAAGCTAATATAATGCCACATGTACAGTATAGGCTTTTAATCTGGTCATAGATTAAACTGGCTATAACTGGCTGACTGTAAAAAAAAAAAATGCCTACAATTTATTTTTTGTCAGACTATGTTTGAAGTTTTTTTCCCCCTTCGCAACCAGTGACTCTCTATTATCATTGTCCATTCACTCATAAAAACTGATCCAGGATGAGGCAAACAAGTTTATCTGAAGAAATTCACCACTCACCTTCAGGTTGGCCATCATCTGTCAGGAAAAAAGAAAAACAGCTCCATGAAATTTCCTATATTTTAGGTAAGGAGGCTTTAAAATTTTCTAAAAAATGTATTGCTTGTGCTGTCTTTCTTTATAATAAATGCCACTTGGTTTAATATTTTGTTATCTAATATAATGGCATTTTAACTCTGGCTATTTTTTTAGGCCACTGTATAATTTGTATAAAGAACGATGAGTGCAGCTTTGTCTGTCTTTAAAGCATTCTGTTTTTTTTTAAACTGGGTGTCAGTGAGCAGTATTGTGTTAGTTGCGGTGCACATGTCTAGACATATAGCAAACAGTTTAAAGAGGCACATGTGAGACACAGTGTTACAGTAAACCCAGCAGAGCATGATCAAAGTGCTCTTACAAACCCTAATGTGATTAGAGGAGTTAAACAAAAGCCTGACAAGATCAAATTTTAAAAAAAAGAAATTAATACTTTTATTCAGCAAGGGATGCATTAAATTGATCAAGTGACAGTAAAGCCATTTATAATGTTACAAATAAATGCTGGTCTTTTGAAATCATGCAGAAATGATTTCACCTAAAAATATTAAGCAGCACAACTGTTTTTAACATTGATAATAATTAAAGAAATGGTTCTTGTGCAGCAAATCAGCATATTAGATTAAATTCTGAAGGATCATGTGACACTGAAGACTGGTGTAATGGCTGCTGAAAATTCAGCTTTACCATCACATGAATAAATTACATTTTAAAATATATTCAAATAGAAAACAGTTATTTTAAATTGTTATAATATTTCACAATATTACTGTTTTTACTGTATTTTTGATCAAATAAGTGTGGCTTTTGTAAGCATATGAGACTTCTTTTAAAAACATTTAAAAATTCTTCCCAACCCCAAATTTTTGAACGGTGATGTATGTCCTGTAATCTCACACGTGTTTCCTTCAGAGTTTCAAAAGAGATCTCAACTATGTCTCAAACTGCTTGGAAATCTGCACTTAAAGTCAGACATTTCATTATCAACTCAAACTCAGCTATAACTCAAACATTTATCATCACATACTGCAGACACCAAATGATCTGTGTTTATACTGTATTTATGTCTGTATACCGGATTTATTTCTATCTTTATACCTTCTATGGAGGTTTAGGAAAAACATATGAGACCATGATGAAGTTGGGCCATTACTGAGAGCTCCATTAGGTCTCTTACAGAGCAACCTCTGAGCAACAAACCTTCCTCTACACTATAAATGATGTAAATGTCAGCAGCTTTGTCTCGGCAACCCGCTCCTGTTGCCTTGGCACGGGCTGCTGTGAATTCTGTGAGGATGCCAGCCATAGGCTGATCATGGCACAAAAGGATCTCTGTGAAGCGTTCCGAGCACGACCGCTTCATTCCTGCCCCCTGCTGTCAGGAGCGCATGTGAGGAGGGCCAATGCGAACACCTGTGCGCTTCTCCTTGTTTAGCCTCTTGATATTTTTGACATCTCTCAGCTTTCAGCTCCCTCATTTTGTTTGCTGTCTCTGTCAGTCCTTCTCTCCTTCACTGGGTGTTTTCTACAGTTCATTGTCACTCACTATAGCCTCTGTTCTGTGTGTTCTGTAGCTTCATCCTGTCTTATGTTGCATAATTTCCTTGGTCATCTTCATATGGAGTATAAAACTCCTGAAAAGTCTCCTGCAGAAGTCTTTGTGATATATTTTCAAAGCAATGCCATCTTGTCAACAGAAATACCTTCTTTTTTTCTGCAATGCAACGTTATCCAAAGCCCAAAGGAGACAGGGCACAGCGAGCCACATGCATGATAATTTATAATGATAATATATCAAACATGAAATACTTGAATTTATGAGACTTAGGACACAATTATATGGGACCTTCAGCAATGTAAAAAAAAAAAATAAAATTAGTTGATCCCCTCATCTGCTGGCAGGAATTTGATCACTAAAAATGATAACATTTGTAATAATAATAATAATAATAATTATTATTATTATTGTAATGATTCCCCCACTAAGCACTATATAAATATGACAACTAATAATAATAATAATAATAAATCAAGATGTTTTTGCATATTAATTTGTCTTTTGAGACACCAAATTTTATTATTACTTTTTAATTAATAATAATTATTTTACCTAATTATTTTATCTCTCTTATTTGATCTCTTTGTCTTGTGCATGTCATAAGAAAAACTCAATAATAATAATAATAATAATTAAAAAATGTTAAATCTTGATGGAATTAGTCTTTTAAGGCACCTAATCTTATTTTATCTTTTTTTTTGTCTTGTCAATGCTGTGAGAAAAGCACTACATTTATGTAACTAATAATAATTATTAATATTAATCAATCAATTAATCATTCATCTTTTTTGCCTGAATTAGCCTTTTGAGACCCCTAACCTTTTCATCTCTCTTTTTTATATCTTGTGGATATTGTGAGAAAATAATGTATAATAATAATAATAATAATTTAAAATCAAAATGTGTTTACCAGTTAATTAATCTTTTTAGAAACCTAATCTTATTTTATCTCTCTCTCTTTTTGTCTTGTGCATGATGCCACCCCACAGATCACCCATCTTTTGGATCCCTCAGCTCAGATTTGGCACTGACGTGGGTCCTTCCACCCATTAAAGAGCCATTTATGTTACGGTTGAGCTGGCTGGTGTGGCATTCTGGCTGTTTCGAGATCCCCCTGGCTCATCCAGCAATAACAACAATTTTGAAAGGTATTGTTTTACCCTCGCAGCGCAGCACAACAGAATGCAGGTATGTTCAGCTGTCCCTACTGCTGCCGTGAGGACAGACAGGCTCATGTTGACCCCCCACACACCAACGGTTGTTACTAGCCGGCCCTCCAGCTTAATATAGATAGAATTCAAACCTCATTTATTAAAGAACATTTTCAGTTACATGCTTCTTGTCTGACAAGCGAATGCACTGCAGCTAACTTTTTATTGTCACGACCAACACAGACTAAAAAAGATTCATAATAGGTTCATAAAGATCGACAAAAAAGTGTACGAGATCATGGATACAGCTTTTCGTTTGAGAATCAATCTTTTATGATTGTAAAACTGTAAAAAAAAACAAAGTACTATTGTACGTGGAAGTCGTGCAAACTTTGCTGGCTCTGAGAACAACAGGCATCAGAGAGCAGATGACAGCTTGAATGTGTTATTTCTCTTGGTGCTGATTTATGAGTGATCTGACATGAAGGAACGACACTTTAACGTCTTTTGACTGAGAAAAAGTGAGAGTGAAATACGCAGGGTCCAAAATGAACACTCACACAAGTAAAAGTTGCCAGTTGGCTGGTAACTGTATAAGGAACCGCAACATAATACATGATAGTTAAAGTAATTGACGTGCATAATTAAAACGAATGACATACAGACCTTCTACAAATAAAACATAGGAAATTTTTTTTGTAGTATACGTAAAATGTTATTTTCTCCAAACTATCATGGCAACACATAAGCGAAATATTTCTCACATTAAAACCACTATAATAACAATAAAACAATGTACATATATATATATATATATATATATATATATATATATATATATGTACAAACCTAAAGAGTTTTAATTTTATATACTTAATAAAGCATAATAACTCGAACTCTATTTTAATATAAAGCAATGAATAATTCATGACTGCAAAATAAATATTTATTTATATATTTATTTACAATGGTGTGTGAATGGAGCTAAATTTGCTCCATTCACACTCTATTAGCTGGTGCAAAGTTAATTTTGGACTCTGGAAGTTCATTTTGGCCAGCCCTTGTAATGTAGGGTGGGTTTGACATGGGGATTCTTTCATCTTTGACCTTATCTGTAAGTCAGTAGTCAAAGGCCAGCTAATTATCCTGATATGGCTCTAGAGATAGACTTTCGCTGACTTAAAACATCAAAAGTTTGTTTCCTTCCATTGTTGTTTTCCTGTGGGATGCTATTTGTGATGCTGGCCTATTTGGATATAGGTCATAACCTCCATCCTTTGATATTATTTATCGCAGAGATCAAAGTTCAAACAAACAAGGGCTCAGGATTCTCAGTATGATAGAAACATAAAGTCACTGGATGAAAGATAGGAGTAACAGAGAGAAGAGAGAGAGAAAGAGAGAGAGCAATGGGGATTAAAAGTCTGCTCATTCTGAACTATTCCAGGGGTCTGGAATCCAGTTCCCGGGGGTCCAGCCCTGTTCATCCCTCATCCAGCCTTTTAAAGCAACCGCACGCGCCTCCCCATCAGCTGTTCCCCCAAATTTATGAGAACAATCTTTTTTTTTCAAACAGACATGGTCACAAAGTCTAATACTCTCTCTTGAGGTTATTTATGGAAGGCATCTACTGTATATGGAATCCATCGTAATTAAATATTACAGTTGGCTTATCATCTCAAACTATGTTTTCATCTTTCAGAGTAACCAATTGTTTGTTACTTTAAAAAAAAAAGGACAGTTGCACTGCAAAATAATTTTTGTAATCGCAATTTTTGTCTTGTTAAAAACATTAAAACAAGGTAAATTTACTTGAGAAGCAAAATTGTAAGATATTATGGTTTGTTTTCAGAGAACACATTTTTAATAAATTATTTTTCTCTCACCACGGCAAATTGTTTTTAAAAAAATTTTTTTTTTTAAACATCAATCTTGGTGAATTTCATTAGATGTATGCTTAAAACATGTAAAATAATATCTTAATGTCTTATCCAGTTTTGTTTTCAGGTACATTTATGTTGTTTTACAGGTGTTTTTCACCAAAAAAAAGAAAATTCTGTAACATAAAATATTATAATTTAAGGATTTTTTTTTTGTCCATACAGTGGAAGTCAATGAGCACCAAAACTGATTTGATACCAATATTCTTCAAAACTCAAACAGGTTTGCAACGACATGAGAGTGAGTAAATGATGACAGAATTATTATTTTTTGGGTGAACTTATCCTTAAAGAATGTTTAGACAAACAGACAAAAATATTTTATGTATGTTTTCTTGATAGACAGATGTTTTCAGTCACCATAAGCATCTTTTCATTCATTTTTCAACCCACAAAAATCGTCACGATCTACCGGATGGCATTTACAATGGGTGTTGGGCGCATCTGCAAACCCTGTACCGAAATGGATCGCGCCACCTGCCTGTTTATGACCATGTTTATGAATATCAAAATAGATTCCATAGCATCAATCTCCCAAATCCCCCACATTCTGCATCATAATCCCCATTGTCCAGAAGTGGACGGATCCCATCCAGTGTGGATATGTTTAGAGGCCGATATTAAAATATGAGTCATCCTCAGAGGAAAGCCATAGCCTGACCAAAAATAAAATGTAAATGTAACTGGTGCTTGTCACGAATGATGAAATCTCAGAGCTGTTGTGCTCATGCATATGAGAGATCTGCTTTCATATACTATCCAATAAATTAAAGCCAGTCTTTTCCATTCAGTAATAATAATCATGATGCAATGTAAGTCAAAGAGCACACACAATATCGCATCCTCATACTTCAGTCAGCAGTGGAAGCTGATCTCTATATCATCACCCCTGAAATATTTGTCCATCTGAAGGCGTAGCATCCCCACCGGGCCATCAGCATTGCATCATCCATCAGAAATGCCTCTGGCACCCCAGTAAAGCTGGGCCCATGACTTGAAACCCAGCGCAGAGTAAGTCAGCACCATTCCATACCCAGAATCCCGTATAGCTGACTGACTCTGCGCTCCTAATCACCTTGACTATGCACCATCCATCATAGCAACAATAGGGCATTACAATAGTTGCTTTTTATAAAGTTGCCTGGATCACCTCATCATCCAGCACAATGTGAATTCCAAAGTCGCTCCTGATCATCCCTGAGCTTTTTATGTCTGCTTGAGTCATTTTGTCCTTCTCATGACTGTAGGGATGATGCAAACTTCTTCACCTGCTTCTGCTTCTACCAACCACCTTGACCTAACATATGTTATGTTTTATGGTGTATAAACTGTCAATTTCATCACATGCGACTCAAAATACAAAATTTTCCGCATTTTTTGCTTTCTTTCTATAATGCAGCATTGTATACTGTGTATGTTTGCCATATGCAGTTGAGAAAACTCTGCAAGGTGAAGTTAGTCCTTGTTGGTTCAAGCCTATTCAGTTAAAAAAAACTTGACTCAAACTTAGATTAGAATGAAAAAGGTGAAACAAACCAGCAAAGCGGAGCTGCTAATTTGTTATCAGCATGTTTGTTAGTAATGCTGAGGTGATATCACTGATAATGTTGTTGTACATCTTGATTTGGTCAAATTTGCCATCCTAAAACATTTCCTTTTGTTTCTTGATCAACAGATTCCCCATCAGACTATGTAATCTGTGGCATAGTGATGG